GATACTTATCTTATTATCTAGTATATATCTATAAGGCAAGTAGTTATCTAAAAGATTTGACTTTCAAATCTTTTCACTTAAGCCTTTAATAATCTACAAGTTTCCATTAATTAATTAACAAACTAGATCCCTATATTTTTTTTGTACATTAATTGCTCATTATTGTCCTTTTGTGTAACCCAAAATTACCATGCCATTAATAATAAAATTACAATTATTATGACTTTGGGCATTATTTCCATATGATCCAACATATGGGTGAGATAAGTTTTGTATTTATTGCTCAAATAATAGGAATTTATGCTTAACTAGGATTGGTTTTGGAGGATGAGATATGGAATGGAGGGCCAATGGATATTCGGAATGCAGGGTCACCGATGAAAAAAAAAGCGATAGTGACTCACTACCGGTTCCTACCTCTTGAAGGCAGATGAAATTCAAAACCCAGAAAAATGATACACCACCATCTTTAAGAATATCAAATTCTAAACCAGAAAATGATGATCCACAACTGACCGCCTCAACTCAAATTCAAAATATATTAAATTCAATACCAAAAAATAACAATTCATCATTGTCTGCCTCTCGTACGTCTTTTTTTCCCGCTCATACCTACTCCCTTACCTCCATCTATCTCCATTATCACCTTTCTGGTTCCCCCGTTAAACCCATCGACATCTTTTCTCTTTAACTCTTTACTTTTCCCAATCTGTAGCCATTTCTTTCTCCATCTTATTGCAAAATCTACTCTCCACCATCTGCAATTTCATCTGCTAACTAATTAAATCATTAGAAACTCAACCAAGGTTAATGATGTTTGTAACCTTAGTCACTCACCAACTATTCCTAGTGGCAGATTTATGTAGTAGCCAGGGGTAGACATGTTACCCCTTCAAAAAATCTCAAGTAGTATTAAAAGTTTTGAAAAAAAAAGTTATAAAATAAGGTGCTACTCAGCTACCCTTGGTCCATACTTTCACTACTGTGTGAGTTTTCATTTCCCACCTTTATTTTAAAAACTACATATCCATTCTTTTTTCTTAACTCATCATGTAATCACATATGTGAGATCTATCGGCCTCCCTATATATCATTTTCTAATTTGCTTTCATCCCTATTTAATATAAATTGTTTTGTTGACTTTTTATTTGTATATTGTTGCTAATATATAATTATACCAAAGATAATACGTAAAATATTAAGTGTTATATAAACCACTTCACTAATGTCAAACGATTTTCTTAAAACTTATTCAAAATTTGTTATTCTTTTAAAATTGGATTTGTTTGATATATTTTCAAATTCATTACCAATAAAATATATTAAGTTTATAACACCTGTTTTCCATAATAGACCAGTTGAAGACCTTAAGGGGTTAAACATAAGGGTTTTGAGGAGAACCTTACGCCACAACATGGTGAATGGATGACCACAACATGGCATGGGATGTATTGGGAGAGTGTCCTGATGGACACCACGATGTGCCAAGAAGGGTGCCACAACGTAGTGGCTGTTGCAGCCCAAGTCCATAATTTTTAAGGTTTCTCCCATATTTAAGTATCTTAATTCTTGGATTAGGTCATCTCCATCAACTTCCATCTCTTCATTTCTAAACCCTAGCCTCCACTCCATGATTACGAGCTTGGTGGCTTGATCTTGAAGTTGTTTTCTTGATTTGTTGAAGCTTGTGAAGAAAGGAACTTCTTCTTGGTGCGAGGAAGCAAATAGCAAGTCTAGATCCATCATATTCATCAGTTTTCTGGACCCTTGGATGTATAAAGCTTTCACCTTGACCTTGTTCATTTGAGATTCATGTTTATGGTCTTTTTGGTTGATTTTGGTCCCTTCATGGATACTCTTGGAGTTTT